CCCACCGCCAAACCTCGAGTCCCAACTGTGTAGCCCCGCGGTGGAGGGCAGCCAGTGGGGCGGGGCGGTTCGTGCGCTCCCGTCCGAGGTTTTCCCTCGCAAGACTGAATGGCTCTGAGGCCCCGGGGCTCCAGGGCTCCAAGGCCAGAATGAGCGAATGAGCGAGTGACTGGTTTCACGCCTGCTCTGACATGGTGCGCTGCATCAGCGCCGCGCCAACTTTAACAATTACCCGGGCGCGCCAACTTGTGGCTGTCTGAGGCTCCACCGTGGCCTCTCTTGTGTGCCCTATGCTACCTCGTAGCGCTAGGGCCGCCCCGCGGGCTGCGGGCCTTTCGCAGCGTCGCCGTGCAGCCCTCGGTTTTCCAACTAAATGACCAGCCATTCAGGCTTGCCCTGCCCCGTTTCTCGCTGTAGGCCCTTGCCACATAGGGCCTCCCGCGCTTCAGGGGTCGGGCGGTGCTGGTGTAGCCCCGCGCGCTGCACGTCCTATGCTGTTTTGGGCCAGGCCCGTCTCGATGCGCCCTGGCGGTCACGCCTGGGACGAGCGGTACTGGGGTAGCCCCGTGCGCCATTCGTCCTGTGGCTGTTTTGAGCCAAGCTCGTCTTGATGGGCCGTGGCCGCGACACTACAGCTTCGTCAATCCGCGGCGTGTGCCCCACCCCAGTTGGCGCATGTCCAATTGTAGGGTAATGGGGCAGCCACAGGACGCTCGCCCCAACGTGGTCGAGCCGTGGTGATGTGCTGCACGTGACCGCAAGTAGAACTAGCAGTAACCGTAGTAGTAATACTAGTATTATCCTTAGTACTATTAGTCGTAGTAGTAGTCGTAGCAGCAGCAGCAGCAGCAGCAGCAGCAGCAGCAGCAGCAGTAGTAGTAGTAGTAGTAGTAGTAGTAGTAGTAGTAGTAGTAGTAGTAGTAGCAGTAGTAGTAGTAGTAGTAGTAGTAGTAGTAGTAGTAGTAGTAGTAGTAGTAGTGGTAGTGGTAGTAGTAGTAGTAGTAGTAGTAGTAGTAGTAGTAGTAGTAGTAGTAGTAGTAGTAGTAGTAGTAGTAGTAGTAGTAGTAGTAGTAGTAGTAGTAGTAGTAGTACTAGTATTAGTACTAGTACTAGTACTAGTACTAGTAGTACTAGTCGTATTATTATTATTATTCTGATTAGTAGTAGTAGTAGTATTATTATAGTATTATTATTGTTAATATTAGTAGTAGTAGTAGTAGTAGTAGTAGAAGTGGTAGGAGAGTAGTAGTAGTAGTAGTAGTAGTAGTAGTAGTAGTAGTAGTAGTACTAGTAGTAGTAGTAGTAGTAGTAGTAGTAGTAGTAGTAGTAGTAGTAGTAGAGTAGTAGTAGTAGAAGTAGTAATAGTAGTAGTAATAGTAGCAGTAGTAGTATAGTCGTAGTAGTAGTAGTATTAGTACTAGTAATAGTAGTAGTAGTAGAAGTAGTAGCAGTAGTAGTAGTAGTGTAGTAGTAGTAGTAGTAGTAGTAGTAGTTAGTTAGTAATAGTAGGAATAGTAGTAGTAGTAGTAGTAGTAGTAGTAGTAGTAGTGCAGTAGTAGTTGTAGTACTAGTGGTGGTAGTAGTAGTAGTAGTAGTAGTAGTAGTAGTAGTAGTTGTAGCAGTAGCAGTCGTAGTAGTAGTAGTACTAGTAGTAGCAGTAGTAGTAGTAGTAGTAGTAGTCGTAGTAGTAGTAGTAGTAGTAGTAGTAGTAGAAGAAGTAGTAGTAATAAAAATAGTAGTAGTAGTAGTAGTAGTAGTAGTAGTAGCAGTAGTAGTCGCAGTAGCAGTCGTAGTAGAAGCAGTAGTAGTAGTAGTAGTAGTAGCAGGGGTAGTGGTAGTAGTAGTAGTAGGAGTAGTAGAAGTAGTAGCTGTAGCCCCAGTCGTAGTCGACGTCGTACTCGTAGACGAGGTCGTAGTCGTAGTCGTAGTAGGTCGTAGTAGTAGTAATAGCAGTAATAGTCGTAATAGTAGTCGTAGTAATACTAGTAGTAGTAGTCGTAGTACTAGTAGTAGTAGTCGTAGTAGTAGTAGTAGTAGTGATAGTAGTCGTTGTGGTAAATAGTAGTAGGTAGTAGTCGGTAGTAGTAGTAGTAGTCGTCGTCGTAGTAGTCGTAGTAGTAGTACTAGTAGCACAAGTAGTAGCAGTAGTAGTAGTAGTAGCAGTAGCCGTAGTAGTAGTAGTAATAGTAGTAGTAGTAGTAGTAGTAGTAACAGAAGTGGTAGTAGTAGTAGTAGCAGTAGTAATAGTAGTATTAGTAATTGTAGTAGTATGAGTAGTAGTAGTAGTAGTAGTAGTAGTAGTAGCAGTAGTCGTAGCCGTCGGTCATAGGTAGTAGTAGTAGTAGTAGTAGTAGTAGTAGTAGTAGTAGCAGCAGCAGCGGTAGTAGTAGTAGTAGTAGTAGTAGTAGTAGTAGTAGTGGTAGTAGTAGTAGTAGTAATAATAGTAGTCGTAGTCGTAGTCGTAGTGGTAGCAGTAGTAGTAGTAGTAGTAGCAGCAGTA